CCCCCACCCCGGCACACTGGGGCAAAGTTGAGCCAAGTCACACACTGGCCTTTCTCTCCCCAAGTCTGGCCCTGGAGTGTTCTTTAAATTATGAGCAGATGCTTGCAATGCTCCCAAAGCCAGGTCTCCTGGCTGATGGGTTCAGAAGATGCACCTGCTCCGGGCCTTGATCACACAGGCATTGCCCCCTCCCCACATAGCCTGCAGGCCCTCCCAGTCTGCCCACCTCACTGGTGCCCCAGCTGGGCCTCTGGAGAACCCCGGTCTGCAGCCCCGGGTAGGGACGGAGCCTCTGAGCCACCATACAACCCCCCCAGCATGCCTCCAGGCCTGGCCAGACCCTGGGCTGCAGACAGAGGGAGGGGTGCCCGGCAAGCCATGCCCCTCCCCTCTCTCCCCTGCCCTCTCCTTCCTGCCAGGCTGGAGGTGCTGTCAGGGCCCTCTCCAGTAACCATAGGCAAGTCGCTGCCATCCCTCTGGGCCTCAGTTTCCTCTTCTGTAGACTGGGGGTAAAATCCTTGGGGTCCTGGTGAGGCTTCACTGGGAGGAACACAGGGTGGGCCAGTGCCTCCTTCCACAGCTCTTGACAGCCGGCCTGTTTCCCTCTCCCAGAGCCCCCCCACAAGGCCTCCCATAATGCCTCGGTGGACATTTGTGAGCTGAAGAGGGACCTCCAGCTGCTGAGCCAGCTTCTGCAGCATCCCAGGAAGAGCCCCAGGAAGCCTGCGGCCACCTCTGCCCTGCGGTGAGTCCGGCGGCTGGGGGCTGGGCTGCCCTGCCTGGAGCCACCTGCAGCCACCTGCAGCAGACCTGGCTCAGCCCCGGTGGGTGGGCGGGAAGCCTTTGCTGGGCTGCCACTTGCTCTGAGCTTCTCTGGCTCCTCTTTCCTCGTCTTCCGGGAAGACCCACACATAACCCCCCAGACCAAGCCCCTCCCCCATCGGAGTGCCCAAGAAAACCATCCATTCACCCCACCCACCCCCACTCAGCCACCCCAGAAGGCTCCACCCAAAGCCCTTCCCAAGTCAAGGAGAGACCGGCTGGCCCATTTTAGAGCTCAGCAAACTGAGCCCCAAGGTGGGGAGGGGTGTCCGGGTCCAAGTAGGTCAGCCCAGGCGGAACGGGGCCGTTCTAAGATCAGGCCTCTCCTGTTCTGTCCATCACTCCTGCCTTGCCTCCTGCCCCTGCCCCCCAGTCAGTCTTGCCTTCCCGGCTATTTGTCTTTCATGCCCCCCTCCCACCATTTATCTCTCCCTTGCCCCACCTCCCCTCCCTCTGTCTCTTCCCTATAAGTCTGCCCCAGTCTCTTCTCCCCTGGCTCCCTCTCCATGCCCAGCCACCCGTCCACGTCCCCCCCGCCCCCCAACAGTCACCGCTTCTCTCTTGTCCCTGCAGGCAGCTGCAGAGCCTGGAGTCCAAGCTGACCTCCTTGAGGTTCACCGGGGACAGGGTGTCCTTCCAGGAGGACAGGGTCAATGCCACGGTGTGGAAGCTCCAGCCTGGGGCTGGCCTCCAGAACCTGCACCTCCACTCCCGGCAGGAGGTCAGGGCTCAGCCCAGCCAGGCCACAGACTCGGGCCCATAGGAGTGCAGTACTGTCTTGGGTCTTGTCCAGGGTGCTCTGTGGGGTGGACGGGTGGAGAGGCCCCCAGACTACCCTTTGGTCCTCAGCGGCTGCCCCCTTGTGCTGAGAACCCAGAGATAGAGACTGAACTGGGCGGGAAGACAGGTTTTAGCCCCATGGTCTCCCGGGACACACCCTGCAAATGGAAGATGAATCCCCAAATGCCCGTCCGTGTTCCGTGGAGTAAGCCCCATGAGCTACTCTTGCTGCCCACCCTGCCAGGTGCTATGGGCAGGGCTGGGGTCTGAGGCCCCTGACAGGAAGCAGTCTGGGCTCTACCCACAGGTCCCCCAACAGAGCTGGTGCCGAGGAGGGAGAGGGGCAGTGGGCAGGGGCGAGTCAGCCGGCCTTCCTGGACGGGACGGCCTTGCGCGGGCAGCCCCTCGAGGCAGTGTCTGGGGGCTGGCTGTGCCTCTGGCCAAGCCCTGAAAGGTCTGTGTGTGATTCTGCAGAAGGAGCAGAGCGAGGTGCTGGAATACTCGGTGCTGCTGCCCGGCGCGCTACTCCAGGGGGCGAAAGGCCGGAGGGTGCAGGCTGAGAAGAGGCTCCTCCTGGTGGACTTCAGTAGCCAGGCCCTGTTCCAGGTAGGGCCTCCCCTCGTGTCCTCCCCTGCAGAGAAGGGTGGCTGATGGAGAGACGGAAGCCAGGCGCGTGGCCAAGCCCTAGCCTTCAGGGGTCAGAGCCTTTCTGTGTGCAGTCAGGACTAGAAACATAACGGGAACATCTCCCTGGGAGAAGGGCTTCGATGCAGCTCTCACTACAGGGGGATGACTGCAAGGGCAAGGGTCGTTTCCCCAGGGAGCCTCAGGGTCTCAGAGAAATGTGCTGGGGAGCCTAGGGGCCCCTTGTGCCATTTTTCCCTCCGCCCTGAGCCCCTCTCTGCTTTCCTCTCCCAACCCCATATATCCAGGACAAGAATTCCAGCCAAGTGCTGGGCGAGAAGGTCTTGGGTATTGTTGTGCCGAACACCAGAGCAGTCAACCTCTCGGAGCCTGTGGTTCTCACCTTCCAGCACCAGCCACAGCCCGTGAGTATGAGGAAACCCATCCAAGGGGAGAGGGGCCCTGGCTGGGCCACATCCTCCTGTCCACCCCTCCCGCCGACCCCTCGGATCCTTAGCAATAGATTGCCTTGTTGAGTCCAGCTGCTCCTGCCTGGACCTTTACGAAGGGGTGGACTGTCGTGGGACCCAATCTCCTCCTTTTGTGTCCCTACAGAACAATGTGACCCTACAGTGTGTATTCTGGGTGGAACACCCGACTTGTGAGTACTGAGGAGTGCTCTGGGCTGGGCAGCTATCTGGAGGAGAAAATGAGTCCTGCAGGGTGGGGGTGGGACATGATCCAAGGGAGACGGCCTTCAAGAAGGAGGCCTTGGAAGAGAGGGATGGATGGCCCACTAGGGATCTGTCTTCAGGGGTGTCCTTGGGAACTGGCCTTGATCCGAGCCACCTGCTGCCCCCTCAGGGAGCAGCCCAGGGAGCTGGAGCGACGCTGGGTGTGAGACCCTCAGGAAGGAGACCCAGACGTCCTGCCTGTGCAACCATCTGACCTACTTCGCAGTGTTGATGGTGAGGGGACCCGCCCACCCCCAGTTCTTCCTCTGAGGCCAGGCACTCTCTATGTAAATTCATTCCATGTAGCCACCCCTCTCCCAGGCGGCTCCTGTGGTCCCTTTGAGAGATAAAGAACGAGGGCACAGAGAGGGTCACGCAGTGGTCTGCATAGACCAGTGGTTCTCAATCTGTGGGTTGTGACCCCTTGG